TGGGGAAATGAAGCTTGCCGAAAGGCCATATTTAGCTAAGTCTTGATCCTCTGCCTGGTGGGGTCAGTTTAGATAAAACAGAATCTGAAACTTGATTTTTGTCCAGCAGTTAAAACCTCCTCCTACATTAAATCTGTTACTCGGGCTGCTCATAAGGGTAAAAAGTGTTTGAACATTTTTTTTTTTAAGGGATTTTTTTTTTTTAAAGATTTATTTGTGCATACAGAACTGGGGTACAGGCCAGAGGCTCAGGGGCTGTGAGAGGCTTCACCAGAGACAGAGCGGGGAACAGAACAGGCAGATCGACGAAGTACACTGCTGAGGGGAGCAGGGGGGGGGGGGGTCAGGAGAGGTCTGCCACGCCATGTGGTCACCTCCGGGGTGGGCGGGAATCGAACTCATGCGGAAGCAGCTTTAGATTCTCAGTGCTGTGCTTTAACCCGCTGCGCCACCACGGAGGGCCAGTTTGAACATTTTTAACCATGCAACGTGGCGATCTGGTTCAGCCTCTTTGTGCAAAAAGGAGGAAGTGTTGGTTCTTAGTGACAGAGGTACACCATGGCAGCCACTGCTTGGCTACTGGTCCTTCCACGGCATATTTAAATTTTTTCCGTTTTCTACAGTTCATCTAAACAGGAGTTATGATTGGTTAGCTAGCCACAGGGAAGATCGTGATAAAAAAAAAAAAAAAAAGAAGCCAAAGATCGGATCACTAGCTCTCAAATAATTGGTAAATTATTTGGGAGACTGACATAACAAATGACAATATATGAAGGTGACAGTTGCTAAAAGTTACAATCTCAACCATCAATTGCAATAATTCTTTTCCTGAGAACTGGTCAGGCTAGTGATACATAAATGCCATTTCTCTACTGAAGTGAAGATTAAAAAAAAAAAAAAGGAAACAAAAGATTTGAAAAGTTTTAGAAAAACAAAAAACAGTTACCTCTTAGGAATTGATAGCATCTAAAAATAATTATTTCTTCTCCCTTATTTTTTCTAACCCAACAGTAATGGGAGTTGACGGGCATGTTCAATTAAATTCGCCACCATCGTGAACTCAGCAAAATGCTCCTCAAAGGGACTCAACCCATCTTCTTTGAAAAAGTTATTTTTATGGGAGTAACAGCTACTCTTATTTAACAAAATTAAATACAAATGAGCTAAAAAGTGGTAAAAGGGCCACTCAAAGGAAATGAGTCTTCAGTGACTACTGTTACCAAAATATTACAGCAGTGCTTAGAGTTGACACATTACATTCATGACCAAACGCCCTCCATCTTCAGAACTAGCTGCTGCTCTTGGGTGGCCCCTTGACTTCAGGACAGCACCTTTTGGGGGCTTGAGTATTTTGAGGGTCTTGCCTGGTACCTCTTTTGAACTTCCCACTCAAACGTATTTCCTATGGAGAGGACTGCTGTGCACCTGGGAAGTGACAGAGTAAACCTCACATTTCACAAGGTGTTAGGGCACTGTCGCTCCTGTTTTATGTAACTCTTACAATAGTCAGCAGCTGTTACAAGCTATAAAATTCTAGAGCTTTGTGTGCAAGTTCCTCAAAACACCAGAACACAGATCTACCATATGATCCAGCGATTCCACTCTTAGGAATCTACCCAAAGGACACAAAACATGAATTCAAAAGGAAATCTGCACCCCTGTGTTTATTGCAGCACTATTTATAAGACAAGTTATGGAAACAACTCAAATGCCTCCAAACAGATGAATGGATCAAGAAGATGTAGTATATATACACAGTGGTATAGTATTCAAAAGAGACTCTCATGCCATTTGCAGCAAATTGGGTAGCACTGGAAGGGATTATGCCCAGTGAAATAAGTCAAAAAGAAAAAAAATATTGCATGGTTTCACTTATATGTGAAATATGGAGAAAACAAACAAAGAGACAAGAAAAGACAACACTTGCAAGCTGATCATAGATCTGAGTCATACAGCAAGGAAGGGGGAGGGTGAAGGTTCAAAACAGTGCAGGGGAGAGCTTTAGGGTACAAACTGCTCACGGGTGAGACTCACAGGACTTCTGAGGGGAGAAATCAGATACTATGCAAACATTTACAGTGATGTCAAAAAGTTAATTTTAAAAAGAATAAAGTTCTACAAGAAAATAAAGTCTGGAGCTTCTCTGATGAAGAATTATTGTGAACCCCCTCTTTTTCACATTCTAGAACTTTCTTATTGTTGAAGTATTTAGCATTGACATTTTCCCACTTAGCCAGACACTAAGACAGAGAAATCACTGATTTGATGAAAACCATTGATTAAGGCATTGTAATCCTTTATCTTTAGTAAGACTCAACTTAAATGCCATCTCTTCTGAGAAGTCTTTTCTTCGCATCCTTTAATTACCACATTTGGACTTGAAAATCTAGTGCTCACACACATTTCTCTCCCTTCCTGGAACTCCCTAAGAGTAGACGTTTGTGTGTGTGTGTGTGTGTGTGTGTGTGTATGTGTGTGTCTTGTCTTGGAAGAGGCTGAGACTTGAGGTTTGCAAAGCCTGTGCACAAATGTATCAGAGTACAGTTGCTCATTTGAGCATGGTGCGTACTCTTAACAAACAGGTATCCTTTGAGAGAGCTTCACCAATGTTTATAAGGTATTTTATAAGTCAGATATATTGCGAGTCTTAAACTATGCAATTAAGTGGCTTTGTTTAAAACATATCTTGTGGACATGTATTTTAAGTAAGCATGCACATCCACAAAGTGTGTCTTTTTAACAATGCACTGAAGCCAGAGGAAGCACCTAAATGTACACGAAGGGAGCACAGTAGAGACCCCCAGGGGCCCTGCTTGCTGCTGACCTGGTTCATATAAGGGGCATCTAGCTGGTGGTCTTTTGCCTGGCTCCCTGTGCACCTGAAGATTTTTTTCCACTCAAAGAACAGTTCTTTTACTGTCTGTGTATGCTTGTCAGGTTGTAAATGTATGACCTTTTTCAAGGGTTGTTATCATTGTAGATCAAGGACTTCTGACAGGAATGGACAGCCTAATCACTAAACTGTCTGAATACACTTTTTAATAACTAGATACTTAGACAGTTGGTTAAGAAGCTAAAGATTTTACTAAGAAGTCTAACAACCATTCTGACCAAACACAGCACTGTTTTCCGTGGTTTTGATATGGAGTAATTGTCAGTAACATGCTTTGCTCTATTCCTGAGAATGTTCCAGTGAGCATGTTGAAATGTTTTAGTTCTTACCTTTTTGGTTGGAATTAAAATGTAATTGATTTACTAATTAGGAGGACACTAGAGGGTTGACTATGAGAAGTTCTGATTTTGATGAGTGGTTATTTTAGAGTAAGGGCAGCTCTATATGTTTAACTTATCCCCAAATTCAGATTTTTACATTAAGTTAACTCAAGATACCGCCCAGTGACAATAAAGAGTTTTATGTGACACAGGATACAGTATGCACAGGGGATAATTTATTTTTTAAATTTGCTATCTATTATTAGACTTCTAATTACTAAGGCTGGATGGAAGAAGAAAGGCCACATTCTTATAATAACTGCCAGGTATTTAACTGGAGATTATGAGCAGAAGGAGTTCATTTTAGATAGTTCAATTTTAAGAAGTAATATTTCTCTCCAAGGTGTTCTAAACACACTTGTTTTGTGTTTGTGTTTTTTTATAACCCCAGTTCTTTACAATTATTTCAACAAAACCTGCAATGTAACACATATCTACAAATGACTGGTGACTGGTTTAGTTTCCTCTCTCTCCTTGAGAAAAGTCAGTATTTTATATAATCATGAAAGGAATCTGCATGACAGACTTGTTTTCTGTAGAATATTTGGGTTAATATTATTAAGCATTTCCAGAGGACTTTACATTTACTTTATTTTATTACTTGTCCTATGCTCCTAGAGAAAGAGGGTGTATTCCATTTCCCTGATGAGGTAAAATGTGCTTGAAAAGTAAGTTTTTCATTTAAGTATCTAGTTTGATCTTGCTTAATCTTTTTGTTACATTTTAACTAGTCTTAAGGCTTTTGAGTTCCAAAAAGACTCATTAGTACAGTAATAACATAGCATTCTCTGTTATTAATCTGGAGATTATACTATCCTCAAGAGATCCCAGTTTGATTTGTGTATTTTTGATGCTACTGTGGAAATTCTTATTTCTTATTAAAGACATTTTGTCTTTGTTGTTGGAGTAAGATGCAAGCCAGGGCTGGGATAGGACTGATGGTGCCCTGCATGGATTTGCAGAGGAATAGGGATAGTGTTTCCCATAGGATAACAAAGTTATTTTAAAACCTTAGAATTGGATCTTTTATGTGCCTTGCACTATGCCGAGTGCTCCAGCGCCGTTATTTCATTTAGTTCTCATAATCCCATGAGCTAGCCTCCCCATTTCTAATTCTGTGGAAACTGAAATCTAAACGCGGACAGTGATTTTTAATAAGAATGCCTCATTTCCTGACCAGGCCAAGAATAAGTTTGCTCAGGAATATAAAGTTGCTGGGCAGAGGGTGGGGCTGCTGGGGGAAGGGGGTAAAAACTGCCCAGGTTTACTGACATCCTTTCACAGATTCTTTAACTTCTGGGCCTTAGTTTACTCAAAGGGAGAACAGAGTAAATGGTTTGTGTCATGTAGTTGTTAAACAAGGCCCCTGAGCGCGAGCGAGCCCTGAAACAGTAAGCATAGCCAGCTTCAGTACATATGCATTATTATCAGTGATAACACTTAGACCGCCCAGCAACAGTTAGTTCTTTGTGCAGGCTTTTTAGTTAATGTTGCCAGTGACAGCTTTTGTAGTCACAGTGTGTTTTCTTTAGAAGTCACATTGTAGTTGTCAATGACATTGTCATATTTTTACCCCACTGTGTTCAGAACCAAAAGGAACAATAGCAGAAACGAAGGGGACAAGTGGAATACTCTTGAACTTGCCTCTCTGACCCTGTTATTAATAAACATGTTAGCAAACTGAAGACATGGAAATGGAAACAATGAAGGTTTGCTTTCTTTCTTAGGAAGACTATGATCGTCTGAGGCCTTTATCTTACCCAATGACTGACGTCTTCCTAATATGCTTCTCTGTGGTCAATCCAGCCTCATTTCAAAACGTGAAAGAAGAGTGGGTGCCAGAACTTAAGGAATACGCACCAAATGTACCCTTTTTGCTAATAGGAACTCAGGTATGTTTGATTTTAACCTCTCCAGGATAATCTCTGTGGTTTATCTTCCTGTGCTGCTCTGACCATCGATCCTAAAGATTAGCAAATGATTAAGTTGCAAGTCAAAGTAAATTCTGTCACGTTTTTGGAAAAAGTAGTGCCCAAAGAAAGCAATTACAGTAGTTTGGTTTAAAAAAATTGAGTTCTTTTATTTAATCTTTTAAAAATATGTATGTGGGGATTAAATGGGACTACATACTTTGATTTATCTTGAAAGACTTGTAATATTATGGGACATTATTGACCTTTCTTAATTAGATTGATCTCCGAGATGACCCCAAAACTTTAGCAAGACTGAATGATATGAAAGAAAAGCCTATATGTGTGGAACAAGGACAGAAACTAGCAAAAGAGGTAATGGAACATTTACCGAATTTTAAAATAATGTAAAATAACTGTAAAAGAAGTCAAGGTAACAATAGAAGCTAACATTTCTTGTGCATTTACTGTATGCCAGGCACTGTGTCAAGTGCTTCAATGCATTAGCTCACTTCATTGACTCTGAGACAGGTTTGACTAGTTCCCCTGCTCCCAGCTTTACAGAAGAGGAAGCAGGTCAGGCCACTTGACTGAGGTTCCACAATAGTGGCAGAGCTGGGTTTTAGTCAAGGTCTCACTCCAGGCCCTTGCTTATGGCCAGGGATGGCTCTGTGCTATACCACCAGCAAAATAAACCATGTATCAAAAGAAGTACCAGCAAAATAATGCTGATATTTAAGCCTTTCTTGATCACGTAAATATTTGTACTGGACCAAATCAGACTCATCGGTTAAGACTCATGGAGTATGGAGTGGAGGGGCAGGATGTAGTTTAAATCTACAGTTAGAAACAATCAAAGGGCCAAGTTTGAAAAGAAATATTAAATTTTCTTCTGATCTTTTTATGAAGAAGGTGGAAAGTATTTTCCTTGTACAAAACATACAACTGTGATGCAGATGCACATAATACCTTTATCTTGTTCTACTTTTTTCTCCTCTTGGTTCTAACATTATTGGATCTTATGTTATCACTTTAATAGGACATTTGTGGAGACCGAATCCAAATAAGAGCTTTCTTAATGTAGAATAAAACTTTTTGGAGGACGGGCCTGAAAACAAAAGCTTCACTAAGTTGCTTTAGAAATTCCCTGTACTCAACTTTGTAATCTTGGGGAGAAAAGGAATTTCTATATATAAGAAAGGTAAAAGTCATAAGTGGAAATATTAGTGATTTAACTGTACAAAAATTTAATAGCACAGCAAATGCCAGAAATAAAGTCATGTAACAAATTTGACATGTATGACAGATACGTGAATCAATATCTTTAGTGTACCTTTAGTATACAGGAACTCCTTACATGAGTTAATAATTAAAATATGTATACACCCCAAAAAGAAGCATAGCTTGAAATATCAGTGAAAAATTCACCCCAAAATGCAGATTGTTGTTCATGACCAAAAAAAATATGTTCAGACTCTTTAGTCAAATATGTTTAATTTCCACATGTAAAACAAGCAAAAAATGAGACATGCCTGTAATAGCCACTGTTCCAAAGAAAAGAACATTCTGTTTTGCTGTAGGTCATTGGGTAAAATCAACCCTAGCAATATGCAAAATAGCTTAAAGCTGTGCATACACTTGGTCACTTGTGTTGGGATCTCTCCTAAGAGGACAAGAGATGTTTTTGAAAGGAGATGGTGTCAAAGTGGCTGAGAGTTAATAGAGGCATATATTATCTGTTGAGATGTTCATATTTATGATGTAATTTAAGAAAATAAGTGGTTGCAGAACAATTTAACAACAACAAAAAAGACCTGGTTCTAGACCTCTCAGCAGTATTTGGTGCAGTTGGCTCCTTCCTGAAACTCATCACTTGGCTTCCTTGAACCTTTTTCTTGGGGTTTCATTTATCTTTTCTCCACCTTCTCACACTCCATCTCTGGATATTGGAGGGTCCAGGAACCAGCACTCAGCTTCTTGGATATCATTTCTCCTGTTTCATTCTTATATGTATGCAAGCTTCCATCAGGCTTGTGGGTTGAATGACTTGCTTAAGTTTCCCAAATTTCTCTTTCCTGAACTCTTGATGTCCTTAGCCAGCTGTTCACTCAACAGTTCCATCTGGGTGACTGAACACCTTAACGTGGGCATGTCTAACGCAGAGTTTTCCTTTTCTTACCCTTCAAGCCTGTCCTCCCAGTTTCTCAGATCAAAAACTTGAAAATCCCACTTGACCTTTACCTTTCATACCATACCCCACCAACCCTTCAACAAAACGTTTTGCCTTATCTTTTGTATCCAGAGTCCAAAAATTTCTACTAGCTCCTCTATCAGCCTGCTTCAGGCCCCCTTCATCCTATTTTTTAGATGTTGTCACTTAATAGGACATTTGTGGACACACAGTCCAATACTGAACAACTTCTACCCTTTCTTCTTCTGTTCCCCATGTTAATCAGTCCTCAACATGCAGCCAAAGTGAGTCTTTTAAATACAGGTCAATCAGGTCACCGCTCTGCTCAGATTCCTCCAGTGGCTCCCCAGCTCACTTAGAGTAGGTGAAGGTGTGTCCTTACCGTGCGTGGCTACCTCTCCTGACTCACTGTACTCCAGGCACACGGCCTCATTGCTATTCTTCCCTTCTTCCTCCTCAGGAACTTTGTATGTTCGCTCTATCTAGAATATTCTTTCCTGTGTAGATATTCACTCTTTCATTTCTTTCTGGTCTCTGCTCCTCTCTCGAGGAGGCCTTGCCTGATCTTGTCCCTGCTCTATCTCCATTCCCCATTTTTTACCAAACCACATACAGATGTCCAACATTCTACCTCTGTATTTTTTAGTCCATAGTCTTCTTTCAAAATGGAAAGTTCACGAGAGTAGGAGAGGCAGCTAATTTTGCTCCAACTTTCTCATTTGGCAAATGAGTGCTCAACAAATTTTCAGCAAGTGAATAGAGTCCTCAGAACAAGAAACTACTCTTGAAAGCGGCCTCCAGACTGCCTTACAGATCCACCTCGCCATTGGCCCTGCTCACTGTCCTGCCACCCTAGCTTCTCCTGTCCCCGAATGTTCCAAGTTTGCACCTGCATTGCTGTCCATCTGCGACTCTGTGACATTCCCGTAGGTGTTCCTCACAGCCCAGATTTCACTTTCCACCCTGCCCCACTGCCCTCCCCTTCACGTCTCTCAGTCTCTCTGCCATGCGCACTGCCTGCCCTCTGCTCTGCACTCCCTCCTTTGCGTGTCCCTGACCCAGTAAAACTAAGTAAAGGTGAGCATCATATTGCAGGGACTTTTGTTCAGTTCTTTGACAAATCCCCAGCACTTGTTAAAACAGTGCATGGCATATAGAAGGCCCCGAGATGATGAATTTTTCATAGAAAAGTTGTATTTTAACCATCTATCATGAATATGGATGATTTCATTTTGTTTGCATAGTTGTGTTTTCTAGCTTATGATTGTATTTGTGTCATATCAATAAATATTAATTTTTTTTTCTCCTTCCCAGATAGGAGCATGCTGCTATGTGGAATGTTCAGCTTTAACCCAGAAGGGATTGAAGACTGTTTTTGATGAGGCTATCATAGCCATTTTAACTCCAAAGAAACATACAGTTAAAAAAAGAATAGGATCAAGATGTATAAACTGTTGTTTGATTACGTGAGAAACATCTACAGTGGCCAAGGACAACTGTCCATTTTTCTCAGAAAGCATATGAAATGCTACAGCTAAACCCAGACCTCTTATAATGAAGCAGTTTAAAACTTGAAAAAAATCCTGTCCTCCGAATTCTTTAAAGTTCATTAAGAATGTTTCTTAAAGATCCAGGAAGCAGCAAACAGCATCTGAAGCCACAATCTACTATAAATACTTTATTTCAACTAGAAGGTACAATCTCTCAGGGGTTTCATAGTTAAAAAAAAAAAAAGCTACAATCACATCATGTTGTAACTACATAAAAAACAGTGCTGTAAGTGGAACTGCCTGGCTTGGACCATACACATTTCTGCACAGTCTTTATGGAATCTGCACAAAGAAATATCTTCTCCCTTTGCTCCAATTAATTGTTCTTGTATGTAAGTTGCTTTCTATTCCAGTATATCCAGAGTGGTGAAATAACAAGACCAGCCACGTAGCCAAAGGTCGCTCCTAGCGTACAGGAGATGGGCCATACCTGAGGAAAGAATGTATGAGATCAAGAAGAACAAATGTTTTCTGATTACTTGAGCACAAGTTAAGTGTAACCTAAATATTTCTATATTAAAGCTTCATGTGCTTTCTTAAAGAATGCCAAAAGTGTAATAACATCATAACTGCGTTTTTCACGAACACTAAAAATGTACACATTTTAGTTATAATGTGCATTCAATGGTTGTAATAAGGCTTCTTGTAGATTTAGTTTAATGCTCCCCAGACTGCATGAGATACATGCTAAAATTACAAATTAAAATTTTGGGTCAGACTTTGCCATAACCCTGGATTCAATTTAGCTCTCTGAACTAGTTGGTAATTTTTCTTTAATTTCCACACTGGCTTGTATCAAATGACATGAGAAGTATATATGATGACCAGACCACAAGGAACCTTTTTTAAATTGTGATAAAGAGAAAAGACCTAGAATTCAAGCATGCCACCTGGAATTTAATATAAAGCTAGTGCCTCCATAATGAAATGCCATCTTTCCACTAGATATTGGAACCACAGCAGAAGTTATAGATAGAACTAAAACGTCTACAGGCACCTAAAGTGTAAGTTAAAATACTGGCTTGCAAATACCCATGTTCTTGAGCAGTGTTACATTTAACAATATTACATTAAGTCAGAAGTAAATGATGATTTATTTCATCCATGAAAGCAAATTGGTCCCTAGGTGAAAGGCTCTGCTTTTAAAAAAACTGGAGACAAAATTTTCATGTTCATCTGTGAAGCTTATTTTGTATACTGGAACCAGCTGTAATCTTTCTCTGGGAGAACAGGTCATAATGCTGTTAGACATGAACCAAATTAATTATAATTAAGCTTCTTTGTCTGGTCTGCTTGGATCTGCCTTATTCCACATACCATGCAAGGGACAATAGTTTTAGATAAAGTTTCAGGATGAACAAACTAACACAGTTCAGAGAAGCATAATCTAGTCCATTTCACCCCCTGCCTTTCCTACATTTAAAATTGCTATTGCCTAAGTTATGATACCTTTATGTCTTTGGTGAGCTTTTAAACTTCCATGACTACAGCTTTGTCTATTGCACAGATTGGGTAATGAAACACTAAACTTTTATACTTGAAAATGACAGCCTTAAATGCTCATATATCAGTCACAAATCTAGGATGTACTGTCTTGTATGTGAGCTTTGTAGAGATTTTTTTTAACTACAAGCATCATCTTCCCTTTTGATGAGTGGATAGTCTACTGAATAACTAGACAGGAGTTTCTTTCTGATTTGAACAGTGGATGTCTTCTTTCTCCCAAGAAGTGGTGTTTCATAAAGTACCATGGCCTTATGTATGCTTGAATGGAATCTTATGTAACTTTTGCAATTAACTTCGGTCTGCTATTTTTAGATAGAATTGAAAAAAAAAAACTATATAAACCAACTAGCATATTAGTTAATTGTCCAACACATAGTATAAAAGAATTAAGACAGTAAAGTATTATTCATTTCCAACTTGCCTTTGGGGATTTGATGGGTGCCCCCTCCCCTCAAAATTCACATCTCTGAGACTTTTCACATAATTTTAATTAAACTTAAAATCTCAAATTTGACCTGCCCAAAGATAAATGGACTAGAAATTTTGAAACACAAACTCTGGTGTCACCTCTCTAGGCCTTAGTTAACTGTCTACAAATATGGGAGGTAGAATAGATCAAACATCTCTCCCACTCACCGACTCTCTTATTTACATAATTGTTGGACATTACCTTTTCAGCTTCACATTCTTAAGATAGTAAAAACCATGTCTATAGGTCATCAGAAGGCTAAGGAAGGATGATGGTGACATCTGAACCTAAGGAGCCTTAGGTGCTCTGTTGACCTAGATGGGGCTTAGAGTTTCCCACTGCTTATAAAGACTTTTTGTTGTTTTGGTTCTTTAGTGATTTCTTTTTGCAAAACACTTCAACCCTTTAACTAAAACCAAAGATTTCTATTCATATGCAGATTGTAGAAAAACTGCCTTATTTTCAGAAGCATGTCTTCATTAAAAGATTTTAATAGGAATTCTCTAGACTAATTACTGGAACTAGTTCAAAGTATTGAAATGTCTAAAATGAAATACTAAAAAATATCTTATTGATGTGAATTTTGCTAGTGAAAATGCAAATACTCTGCTTCAAATATAAGGTCATGTATGGACTGAAAAGAAATTTACAATTAATTTTTCTGCACATAGTTTCTAAAAAAATTAGGGGCTCTCTGAAATTTTAGTTAGTATTTGCTAATATATACCCTTATGCTATATCTAAGGGTCCATTTTAGGTTAGCCCATGTTGAATTATATTTCCAGTAAGTAGAATCTGAATTAATGTTTTTAATATGAATTTCTAAGTTACTTGAGGTATTGCTTCGATTTGGCTTTTAATTATTAATTTTAAGTACCAAATTACCTGTTTGTTGGATGTTACTTTATAAGTGTTTGTTATTTTAACAGTGTCCCATCTTAACATATGGGGTTACAAATAAAATATTATGCATAGTTTACTATCTCTGTAAAAGCATTGAACTTCTTCCCTTAGCAGTTTGTAACACCCTATGGAAACATTTGGAATGATACTCTTCTCTTTTTCACCTATGAGTCTCCTCACCATTGGTCAAGCGTGAGTGCCTGCACTTTGTTAAAAAGCTGTACTGTTAAGTGTAAGGTAGTACTAAATCCTCACATATCCCAGCAAAATTTCAATTTGGGTCACCAAATTTTATTTAAATTCATTTGTAATTTCAATATGGCTCTGTTTCCAAAAACATACAGACTCACATAAACATTCTTAAAAGCGGCCACAGTTCTTTTCCAGTGGAGTGTCAAAAATGAAATAATGGTTTGAAAGTTTTGTCCCTTAATGCCTAGTGAAGGATTAAGATTTGGCATCTTTGCTATCACTGCATGTCTCAAGAAATCATCGCTGTTTGCAAATTAAAATGCTCGACTTCTTTGAAGACTGCTAATGATGGATCAGGGTCTCCCCTTTTACTTTTTTTTTTTTTTTTAAGGTTGAAGCTTACTTTATCTGATATATGTCTTTATGTAAAGGCAACTTTCTTGGTTTTTATACACCAACGTGGAGAATGCCAGTTGGAGCAGTTGAAGGGAGTCTGGGGAAGTTGCCTACTGATAATCTTTCCTCAATTTCCTACTAACCTCATAATAGCATTAAAAAATTTAAAAGTATATGATGGCAACAGAATTTAAATTGACTCATCAAACAACCCTAGCTTAATCAGGTATTTTCATAATGAGATCTTAAAGTTTTCCATTTGAAACAATTTCCTTGACTCACTACAGATATGTTCCTATTTAACATTATTCATGCCACAAATAGAATTAAAAAACAGAAACAAATTATTATATCATCTATTGAACAGACAATTCAGCTGCATTACTATAAATATTTCTCTAAATTATGGTAATCTAAGATTGCTATATATACTTATCTTGCTTTGTTTATGGAAAAGAAAACTGCAGAACAAAGATATTCATGTAAAAGACGTCTTTGCTGCAAGTATTTGCCACCAAAGTGACCATAATCTCTCCCAGTTTTTTTTTAATAAATTTAACTTTTTTTAAGCAATAACTAACCACAAGAAATACCCTGCTGCATAACAAACTACAATACAAGTGGGTAAAATTAAGACTACTGTTAAAAAGAGAAACCTGTTTGTAAAACTGAATAGCTACATTGTGTGAAGAAGTATCTTGCACAGAGTACTATTATCCTTTCTCTAAATCAAATGACTCGTTCTGTATTTTTCATCACTTAACACCAAAAAAGACCAGTGTTCTCTTAAAATAATCACTATTAACAAAGGCCTAATATAGTCTGGGTAGATGGTACTGACAAGTTATTTTTCTCTCAGAAATAAACACAAAATTCCTAATATAGGTATCTTTTGTATGTTTTTTCTGTTAAACAAATCAATATTGTTGTTGGAAAGACATTTGAAAGTTATACAAGTTTATTTCTACCCAAAGAACCAGTGTTCTTCCACCCAAGCAATGCTATGGAATTCTTTGCCTACATTTAGGAAAGAAAAAGAACTTGCATATATATATTTCTATAGTGTTTGATTTTTTTCAAAGCATTTCTAAATAGTTCAGAATAGTAGTTACAGACAATGGTTTTTGTATGAGACTGGAATTGAGTCTGGGCTCTGCCATTTATTAAATATGGGACTGAGCAAGTCACCTAACCTTTCTGTGCCTCAGTTTCTCTTCTGCAAAATGAGAATCATCCTAAAATTCACCTATTGGGGTAGCTGTACTGATTAAATGGATAATGAACTATATGGTACCTTTAACCATATCGGGTACATAGTGTTATACAAGTGACAAATACACGTGCGCTGTGGTTGATGGTAATCTTTTAGGTGATCACATGTGCTAACAGACACCTCCAAAGTAAGCTTGCACTACAATCCAGGGCACTATCATTTCTCCAAATATGACATCTCTAAAGCTGCTACTATTTAAAAGGAAAAAATCTTGCTTACATCTTAAGTACTTTAAAGATATTGAACAGCATTTATATACATTTTTATGGGAGAAGAACTGAGGAAGGGAAAGAGAGGTAGGGAAGGGGGAAGAGGGAAAGAGAGAGAGAGAATGAGAGAGAAACTGAAGCCCATCTGTGAACTCCTGGTTAAAAATCTCTGTACTCTGCATTACTCTATTCTAACACATATTTTTATTAAATGTCCTAGTTGGCTAAAAAATACGACAACTCTGTACTTAGTTGCAGAATTTTAAGGACAGTGTTGGTGATGTCAGTAGCATTTTCTGTTAGGTGATTTGAAGACAGCTTAACCACATCTAGCTTAAATATAAAATGCACAATATCCTTAATGTGCAAGTAGGTATTAAATTTGTATTGTCATGAAAATGATATCAAGTTTCTGACACTCCACATTGATAGTTAGCTTGGTATGTCACTAGTATAAGGTATTGTACTGTAGTTTTCCTAAAATCATGGCCAAGTATTTGAAATTAGATAATGGTGACTTTTTATAAAATTAGTTTAAAATATTCAAAGTAATAAAACTAAAACATTAGGCTATTTAAAAAACATTTCGTATTTTATGTGGAAGATTTATTTTCCTTATCTGGGAAATAGAATGCAGCAAGAATAAGAACAAGCTAACTGCAGGGTCAGGTCAGCCACTTACTGGCCCTATGACTGGCCTGGTCACCTAACATCTGAGCCTCAGTTTCCCAAAATGCAAAAACAAGAACAATAGTACCTTCTGGTCTTAAAATATGGGATGGTCATATTAAATGAATAGTTTAAAATGTGCCATGAAAGCTGTAAAGTACCAATGTGTCAGTATCATTTTGTATATTACTTCATAAAACTAAATCTAACATTGATGTATTTTATAAGTAACTGATACTGCTAGGTAATATTTAGAATCTGATATTAAAAAAAATAATAAAGTAGCTGGTGAGCAATATTAGACTGTGCTGTAGGAACTATTCCTTTACCCCTGCAATGTAATCATCTTTAATTCATGCCATTCTTCACACAAAATGTGGGAAGTATAAAGCTTATAAGAGAAAACTCTTAGGAGTTATACAACACACTGCATTATAGCCCATCAAATGGAACCTTAGAAATAGAAGGGTGATTCCTGCTAAAGTGATAGAATCATTTTTCACAACTCTTAAGACACAGAGTAAGTAGCAATAATGACTTGAAAGCAAGCACTGGTAGACATTTTTCAGTCTCGGATGAATGACTTCATTCAAAACCATTAAGTCCCTATTACAAGCCAAGCAGCTATGGTGCAAGCTAAGATTAAAGTACCCACTTTTGGGTAAATTCTAAAAACAAAATCTTAAAAGTGTGTTTTGTAGTATCAATTTTTTGAGAAGTGCTGACACCTATTGGGAACATATAGGAAATGGACCTATGGGCACAAGTAAAAACATATTCACAACCATTATGATTACTGGCTTGTTCAGGTAAGAAAGGAAGGTAAAACTCAAAAGCTAATGCTTCATTCCCCACAAGCTACTTTTTAATAAGTTTATTTGTATTGTGTTTATCACAAATTTGTAATTGCTTGACTGGCAGAATTTATCTTTCAAAATCAGTGATATTTTTACTAGGTATAAATGACCATTTATATTCCCCTAAATTTGATTGTAAGTGATATATATAAAGCAGATGTAGTTGTTCAACAAAGGAAAACATGTACAGATGAATCTACTATCTGGATACATTTCTTTAGTTGTAAATCTGCACTGATCTGTGTATACGCTTAACACTCTCCTATGACTAAGAGCACAAATTTAGGGAAGCTATTTGGGGAAAGATGTGTAGTCTCCAGTCTGGAACTTCTTGTCAAAGTGGTGCTAAATGGTACCTACCAAGATCATGCAAATGAGTCAACTGTTCTCTCACATGAAAATGAAGCCAGCACAGCATTATAAAACTGATTACCATAATAACCCCCATTTTAAATCCAAACCACTTTCTGTCAGTTAAAAAGTACAGTTCCCCCCCCATGCTTGAAATATAAATTATGTTCATATAAATTAGTATTTTATTTGGGTCTGTCAAAAACAATACGTAGGGCCCTCCCTGGTAATGCAGTGGGGTAAAGCACAGCACTATGAAGCTCTTCACAGCCACTGCAGCATGAGTTCCATCCCTAGCCAGGAAGGTGATTCACATGGCACAGCAGACCTCTCCTGACCTGCCTGCTGCTCCCCTCATAGGTGTGTTTCAGTGTGTTTCAGGATCTACCTATTCTACTCCCATTCTGTCTCTGGTGAATCCTCTCACCCCCCCACACCTTTGGTCTTTACCCCAGTTCTTGTGTGCATAAATAAACCTTAAAGAAAATACTAATACTTTCTGCAACAGAAATACCAGTCGACCAAAAATTATGCAACTCTTCAATTAAGTACATAATCTTAAATTTTATCCTTCACTCTAGCGTTATTTGCAGTAATTCATTTGGTTATAATCCAAATCTCTAGTTTTAATTTATGAAGTGGCAATTGTGACTTTAGAAGTAAATATATTTTAACAAATATTAAAGTTTTAACCCGAGAAAACAAAATATTAAATAAAGCAATGCTTCATTTATCTGATATCTTAGAAGTACAAATATTTAAAAACAATCTTATTTTAGACAATTTCAGTCAATTTTGCTTTTTAACTTTTAAGAAATAAGTATGCCTTGAAAAAGCACTGGTTTAGTTTTGGAGATTGTAGGCTGAGGTTCATAGTGTAAAGGAATGAGGGTTTCTTAGGCACAAAAATATTCCATATTAGCTTCTAAAACTTTTCTACAAATGTATTACATTTTATGACACAAAATGTGTGCATGTCCACCAAAGGGGCATGGCATTTAAATAAAATTCTTATGTGGAGAAAGAAATATAATAACTACTTAAGGGTTTCCAAAGAGAGCTAAGCTCTGGTCATTTTTTTGAAAAAAAAAAAAAAATCTATGTTCAGTGTTTTCAGCAATAAGAGATGGTTGGTGTCAAAAGGTGCTGCCCTCATATGAGACAAGCATTTCAAGTAACTGTGGTGTCCTCCTCCCCACACAGACTTTTTCGTGTAAAAATGGAGATGAAACTTAGCTTGTCCTAAAGTTGTCAGGGTTAAGTTACTTGTATGACAAGTATGCTTCTCCACATATATAGAGTGGCCTACATATGTTAAATTTTCTATTTATTGGCCCCTGAAATGTCAGGCAGTTAGAATAAAACTGTGAAATGCAAATACCATGAACATGTAAACAACAGAAAATGTACAAATGATCTACTCTAGCAACTAAAAGACTGTTAGGCAAAACAAACTGAGAACACTGTAAGACACTTGAGAACCAATAAATTTGCATTTTTTTGTAATGCTAGATAGTAAATTCTCTAATAGGTCACAAATACATATAACATCAATTAAGCAATAACTACATGTAAAGTGTTGAACTAAGTACTTAAGAAGGATTATTTCATTTATTCCCTACCACCAAGGAACAGTCCCCAGTACTGAGATGCCAGCGTTTTTAATCACCATTTTATCTGTCCACCTATTAATAAAACATGTGGGTTTAAAATTTCATAGCCTGGCCCTCCCTAGTATGGGTTAAAGCACAGCATTACAAAGCTAGCAGCAGCCACTTCAGCATGAGTTTGATCCCAGGCCAGGGAGGTGACCCACATGGTGTGGCAGACTTCTCCTGTCTCACTCACTGCTCCCCTCAGCAGTGTACTTCATCAATCTGTCTGTTCTGCTCAGGCCTCTCTCTCTGGTGAATTCTTTAACCACCCCTGCACCTCTGGCCTGTACCCTAGTTCTACATGCATAAATAAAGAAATTTTAAAAAATAAAATTTTCATAGCCAATTTCCTTTACTTAAAATAACCAACAACATTTCTTAATCTCCCACTTACCTTCTTATAACATGAAATACTAGCCCATTTTTGATAAAGCAAAGAATAAAGGCATTTTCCGGGTGAAAAACTCATAATTACCTATGTTGTACAATATTTAGAGCATTATCAAATATGTACCTGAATTATTGTTATCAAATAACTAAAGTTCAGTCCTGGGTAATATACGTACACAGAACAAATATGTAAGCATATATAGAGACAGATAGATAGACAGACAGACAGACATAGGTAGATAGACAGATAGAAATACATGCTTTGTACAAACATTTATGTTATTGCTTTGAGTAGCTGAAACCAACCTGCCATGGTCTTTCCCAGTCGAGTGGAATAGGAAAGGCTCCAAGCCACGATCCTAGAAAACTAGAAATCGTAGTGATTTGGAGACTATTTTCCCAAATGGATGTAACACTGTAAAACAAGCATAGGTGTCTTATTCTTAGCTGCTAGATTATCAAACAAGTCATAACACAAATGAACACTATATTTTCTGTTCATCTCAAATAAACATCTCAAATTGACATATATTACCAAGAACTACTAACAATCAATTGGTAAATGTTTTTCAGTTGGAAAGTTAATATACCTATATAGTCAAAGTCAAAAGTACAAGAGCATCAATGAAGTCTTCTTCTCCCCTTCTCTTTTTCATGGCACATTTTATCATCAACTCCAGTTCTTTTCTCTATAAGCAGCTGCTATTAAGAACTTACTACATATCTATCCAGAAATGTTTTCTGTGCATATATACATAAAACAATTTTAAGAAGGTTTTAGGTAAATTTGCATATATCTGTCGAAACAAAATTCAAATGCATATTATAAACCCAGTTTTTCTTGTTTCAAAGCTTTTCTTTGTCATCAGCTTTATTAGTTCTCTGTTGTATGGTGGTATTTCAAAACACTCAGTGACTATGCCTACCACCCCTGTTTATGAAGTGCACATCATAGAATGTAAACATACTCTGCCATTCTCTTAGTAGGTCTTAATTTCAAAATGTAGCCTCACCATGTGGTGGAACATGAGTCTGGCTACAGTAGACTAAAACCCACCAGTAGGGTTCAAATATTCACATTTTTAAAATGCTGGGTGGAGTTACGAAGTAGAAGAGCTAAAGAGAAGTAGTTTCTTCCAGTTAGTGTGGTAAAAAGGGGTAAACATTTGTTAGATAATTTTTTTTTCTTATATATAGGTCAACTGGTATACAAAAATAGGTACAGTGAATTAAAGAAGTCCCAAGTGACAAGTCAGTCCATAACAGATTCCTCATTCTCTCCCTCTCCTCCCTCCCAACACCCACATGTGTTTTAGCTTGTCTCTACTGAGAGCTGAGACTGGGAAAAGGTTGGAGTCAATCACTATATATGCAATACAATAGAGGTATGTTGTGATCCTGGATGGAAAAAACGGAACAACTCCAGCAGCTTGAACATAATTTCCCTTTCTAGCAATTTAAAGGACTTTCTAGGGAAATATTTTACTGTAAGTAGCTGATAAATTGTCTAGTCTTTACTTAATAAACAACTTTTTATTTAATTTTTTTTTAATTTATATATTTTACATTATCATGTAGTCCCTATAAAATCCCCACCACCAGTTCACCTGTGAACAACACCACAGTCCCTTGTGCTCTTCTCTCCCCTTATGATCTTTTTTTATCCTCTTCCCTCACAGAATGTCTTTGATTTATGGTTGCCTGCTAATTTTGTTCTTTTTATTATTATTATTTATTGTTTTTTTCCCCATGATCCCTCATATTGGTCTCCTATATTCCTTCTATAAGTGAAACCATTTGATATTTTTCTTTTTTCCTTCTGGCTTATTTCACTGAACATGATCTCTTCTAGTGCCATCCATGTTGCTGAGAATGGCATGAGTTAATAACAACTTTTTAGATCAATCATATATAAACTTATATGCCTAGAGACATTACTTTCTGCTAGAAAGTTTGCTTTTTCCATTTGATGAAAAGGAAGAAATTCAGCTGGATTTGGAAGAATAAGTAGCATTTGACCTTGAAAAACTGGAGAAAGTTGCATATCAGGCAAAACTCAAAATTGACTGAGGTGGAATATAAAGAATAAGAAATGGAAAAGTATGCTAGATCTAGGATTTAAAAAAAATAAGATTTACTGATTATAGTAAAAACTTTTCCCCATAATCCTTCTCAACCAAACAATTCACTCAAAGAATATTTTTACTATAATTACAGAGTTGGGCAACTATTTCCCCTCCTTCTCAGCCTTAGGCTGGGATGTTTACAGATTTTAGTAGTTTCAATAACTATACAAGTATTGTGTAGACAATAACTGTATGGACTTCATATTTTATGGACATGACCACATTTTGTTTTCTTCATCAGTTTGACAGACATTTGAGTTGTTGCACTTGTTGGCTAATCATTGCCTTTTTGATGGTAACATCTACTCTTGGCTGAAACAACAGCACAGTTATCAACATTATGATAATTGTGAAAATATCCATTAGCTGAACCACAATTACATTTCTTTCCTTATAGTAAAATTTTAATTTCCCTTAGATGTCTGGAACTTCCTCTTTCATTATCCTTCATTTGCTTACTTACCTGTTACTATAGTGCTTATTTGTATTATCTCTATTCTCTCCCTCCTACTCAACTGCTCTAAACCAAACAGTTTGCTCTCTAAGTCTGAAGCACATGGGTGGTCTGTCAGTTTTGCACACTATCAGTTTGTGAAGCCCCTTATTCTCTGTGCTTTGGGGTGTCTTGTTTCCTGGATTCTAAAATTTCTTCATTTTTAAAAAAGTACTTCCTTTAATAGATTCTTGGGTAAGAGTGCTTGAAAAAGACCTTAAGGTTTTAAATCTGAAAATGACTTTACTACAATTGTTGAAATCACTTTGCCTCAGAATTGTGAAGGCACTGTTCTTTTCCTGATCCTGTCAGTGCTATTCTGGCACTCAATCCTCTGTAGGTGACATCTTCTCCCACCTACCTCTGGGAATTTCAGTCATTCAAGTTACCTAAAATTTCACAATGATGGGTCTTGGAGTGGGTGTCTTTTTATTCATTTTGCTGAAAATAAATGCATCTTCTTAATCTAAAATCTCAGGTCTTTTAGTTCTTGAAATTTTATTTTAAAACTTGCTTTTTCTGCTCAGAATGTTATTTTAGTTAATCTTCATGTTTCTTATATTTAACTCATTTCTCTTTGCCTTTTTTTTTTTTTTTTTTTTAAGATTTATGTTTGTGCACGGTGCATACAGAACTGGAGTACAAGCCAGAGGTGCAGGGGCAGTAAGAGGATTCACCAGACAAGAGTGGGGAGCAGAACAGGTAGATCATCAAAGTACACTGCTGAGGGGAGCAGCGGGCGGGTCAGGAAAGGTCTACCGCACCATGTGGATCACCTCCAGCTCAGGTGGGGATCGAACTCATGCGAAAGTGGCTTTAGCTTCTTAGTGCTGTGCTTTAACCCGCTGCGCCACCAGGGAGGGCCCTCTCTTTGCCTTTTTGATTGATCTTTTCAACTCTGTCTCTACGTCAGTTGAATTTTCTATCATATTTTTAATTCCCAAGAATTTTTTTTTTCTCTGAATGGTCATTTTGATTGCTTCTTGTTTATGTTCAATGTATATAAGAAAGATGTCTTTGAAAATTATCTTTTGTTTTTTTTTTTTATGTTTTCTTGTTTTCATTTTAAGAATTTCATGAGGGGTGTTTTCCAAATAATCAGTGATCCTTCATTGCTCATACCACTTAAAACACTACATATGAACTATACAGTGGTTGCCTGGGCTGAGGAGTGAGTGGTAAAGGAGGGGATAAATGATGAATAGATGGCTAAGTTTCTTTTGGAGGGTGATAATAGGTTCTAAAATTAAATTGCTGTGCTGACTATACAATTGTATATTAAAAACCACTGAATTGCACATTTCAGATGGGTAAATTTTATGGTATGTAGTTATATCTCAATAAAACTATTTTTAAAACAACAAAAAACTAGCTGACTGGCTGGCTGTTCACTGTGTATGAGTAGTACAATTCAATTGTAGGTGTCACTGCAGGCATTGGGAACCAACTGCCCTTTAGAGGACCCACAAATGACAGTGCTTCTATGGTCTTTGTACCATTTTTCACAGAAAGAAATAATTCAATGCTGCCTCAATGGCATAAAACTAATTGCCTGTATACTAGGCTGAGCAAAGGTAAAGGGTCTGGTGTAGGATGATGCCCTTTTTCCCTGAACAGGTTGTACCAAATAGGCTCAGGAGGAGGGGATAGCCAGAGAAGGTGGGAATATGGGGTATAATTTGATTTTCTCCATCTTCCCTTCCAGTGTATAACTTTGATTGTTTATATTACTTTACTACAGAATCAACATTTTCTTCCATAACACTAGTTCACTAATTTCCTTGATCTAGTTAATAAGACCCCTTAATAGACACACTTGAATAATTCCTTCATTTGAGGAAACTGTATCATATCTTTGAATTCTTTGTTTTGTGCATCAGGGGCACTAACTACTCTTAAGATGAATCTCCTTGTCCACTTTCATGATGTCATTGTTTCTCTATTCTTCCCAAGTCCTCCCTTTGTCCCCCATTCATTTTGATTAGCTCAAACCTTTCTTCCATTCCAAGTTGATTTTCTAACATGTCTACGTTTCTAAGTTGTAATCTGTATTGATATGCCTAAGGTTCTCAATTTATTTCATTAATTTTGCAATCTCCTCTCAACCTCATTTTTTTTCATTCTCTTCTCTTTGAGCACTATTTTACTAAATTTACATCCTTAATAATATTTTCCTATGGTAAACATATTTTTGTTTGTATTGTTCCTGGGGTAGTGCTTTTCCTCAGGCTGGATTCTGTCCATGGTGTGCCTTTCTCTTCTTCCTCTTCTGCAGCAGTGCAGTGCCATTTCTTTTCCTCTTGTTCCACTTCACATGAGCAGGCTTCCCCGATTATCCATTTGCGCAGATATGAGTAAATTATCTCTTAAGCTATTTTTTTTTTAATCTGGAATTAACTTTTCCTTTCTGGAAACTGTATTTTAAGGACTAGAAATGATTTCTATCAGGTTTTCTGTAACACGAGGCAGAAGAGAATGAAGACAGGGCTAAGGAAATACTCTCTCTGCAATTTAATGAGTACCATTCTGCTGAAATTTAACAAGTAGACATTTTTTAAATCCAACTTATAAAAAATTCTGACCAGGGCTTACACATCCCATCAGAAATCAGATGAAACTGCTGTACAGCACAGTATGTTCCGCTGCCAGAACCCAGGAGACAGTAGACATGGAAGGTAGGTAAATGGCCTCAATGGGGATTCAGGGAACTTTGCATGGGTGTGACAGGTATATGTATAGAAATGTGTATGCTTAGATATGTAATTTTTTGTGCACATATTAGGCCTAATTATCTAC